CAGCGCCTGCCCAGCTCCCAGGCCAGCTGGAGCTGGGCAGGAGAAGCCAAATGTCTTTCAGCGTCCACAGAAGCATCTGGCCCCCCGGGCCAGGGACCTGCATGACTTGTGGGGACTGAAATGGCCCGGGGTGGATGACGTGCTATTTGACCCAAGCCAGGGTGCTGCCCGGCCACGCTGGGCTGTGCTCCAGCCTGCGGCCAGCACAGCAGAGCTCACGCTCCGCAGAGGGACGAGGAGCATGGTGCTGCTGGAGAAGGACAGACACGCTCCCAGCCCTGTGCCCGGGCGCGCAGGGCCCCGCAAGGCAGCACGGGAAGAGCCCTGGGAGCTACAGGAGGGCAGCGAGGTGGGATTACCTTGCAAACTGCTAGGCTTGTCCTTTGCTGCCAGCAAGCTGGGGAGCTGCAGACGCCTCTTCCCCAGGGCAGATGCGTGCTGCTTCCCAATACTCCACAGTGCTCCGGTGCCGCGTGCTCCCCGCCTTTCGCCAGCTGGAGCCATTCTGCATCTCCTCTCAGCTTCGCTCCTCCCTGGAGGGCAGGTCTGGGCCAGAGCCAAGCACCAGCGCAGACACGCTCTGCCCCAGACCTGCCACGGGGCTGCAGACACAGCCCGGAGCTCGCCTGCCACGGCCAAGCGCCTTCCTGCTCCTCCAGCACACGGACAATTTGCTGACACGCACGGCTGGAAATGAGGAGCTTTGATTTAGCCAAACTGCTCGGAAGGCGTAAAATAATTTGCTGAAATTTGGAGGAGACTCTTCAATGGGGAAGGGAGAACCTGCAGAACGGCTCGGGGCGGCCGATGCTTTTCCACGTCTGACTGGCACTTGTGAAAGCCGGCTTCAAGCGGGAGGGTGACGGGCAGACACGCAGGGCTGGAGGAGAAGGGACACCCTTGGGGAAGGTTTGGAAAGGGAAGACAGCTTACAACATCCGATCCACTCCCATTTCTGTGCAGATTACAACGAACAGCACTGAGTTTGAGTAAGGTGGTTTTGTTTTCCAGTTTACAGAATGCAGTCTTGCCCTTTTTTTAAAAAAAAACAAACCCAAAGAAACCACCAAAAAACCCCAATATAAATACCATATATACAATTTAGGGAAACAAAAAAAAAAAAGACAAAAGAAAAAACTTCCAGAAAAGCTCTTCCCTCCGGGCGGAGCGTTGGGAGTGACAGCAGAGAGGACAAAGCTTTGCATTCAGTAGGGGCAACACATCCTGTGACAACTGAACAGCTTCTAGGCTTGGGAGTGACCAGCAGTGCCCGGGAGCGCGGCAGGGAGGAGAACTGGGCAGCACGCGACAAGGGCGGCTTTCGGGCAGAGGGGAGGCAGCAGGAGAGCAGAGGACAGACGATATGGCCATGAACTTGGAAGGCCCACAGCAGTATTCAAGTAACAGGAGGGTTAAAACCCTAACGAGGCGTTTGTTTTAAAAGAACACTCTGGCTTTGGGGGCTCTCCTCGTCCCACCGTGGGTTTGGGGCAGCTGAGGAGTGGCGACGCCGGCAGCCCGCCC